TTTTTATCCGGATGTTGGCTTAAAACCGAAAAGACTCTCTCCCTCTGATTTCCCCATGTGGGGACCTACACTGCTAGCTTCCTCTTAAGGATCAGCAGTTGCCTAGGAGAAGATGTTTCTTGGCTTCTCAGACAGGTTAGTTTCCTCTTTTTATTTTTATATATATATTTTTTGGTGTCCAAAAGCGAGTGCCAGATCATCTGCTCCGGTTGATTTACATCTACCACAAAGGAGCGTGCTGGCTACAAAATGTGTCTTTTGTAAAGATGATGTAAGCCTGCCTGCATTTCCCCTTCGATGGCATTTCTGGGATGGCCATGGAGAAGAGGAAGGGAGCAAGGATGCATGGAGCAATTCTGGCTACATTTTTAGACATCTTTTCACTAGGGGTTGATTTACGAGCCTGTTGCAGGAAACATGAAATATGATATCTTAGTCAGTGGGATGTCAATTGTGTACCTATTTTGGCAGAAATTTTAGCTGATCGATGATGTGAAAGCTAAATGTGGTTGATTCCGTTACAAAACCTATCCAAATTTCTCCAGGTTTTCTTCTTCTCCAGCTTCCTGTCCCCCTTTTCTGATTCTCAGGGTGCTTCAATATTGCTTTCAGATTTTTTTTTTTTTTTTTGTAATGATGTGTCTAGATTTATTTTAGGGTTGCAAACCGATGATGGTTTTCCTTGGGACTGAATTGAAGTATGGAAAACTGGGAAGATGGAAGATTGTTGGCTCAACAGTAACTGGACACAGGCATCTTGCTTAGCTGCCTAAGGTCATTTGCAAGATTCCTATACCCATAAATATTTCACCAAAATACACTTCTCCTTTGAGACAAAAAAAAAAGCATTCCCCCCGATTAGACTGCAAGGGATCAGAAAGAGCACTTAAATGTTTAGCACACAACCCTTGTGCTATTCCACTTTGACTTTTGTAAATTAGTTTTACCCTGCATGGTTTGGTGATGATCACATCATATCTGCAAGCCATACAAGACCTTTCTGCTGATTGTTTTGTAGACATCCTGACCGTGCAATCTTAATTCTTTTCATAATTATGGACATTATGGCCAGTTCTCCATGTCTCTCCTATGGCTCAAGTCCTCTGCAGATTTCTTTGCTAGATTGCTGAGATTGATAGAGATTAAACATTGTCAGCCTTCCAAGGGTGTCAAGGTCAAGAAACGAAAGGGGCTAGGAATCTTGGAATCTATTTTAGGCAGGCTATTGTAGCATGATATGTAAGTCTGTCAAATCTAGCGCAACCTATATTGAACTCGCTCAAGATGGAGTTATTTTGAGTTTCTTATTTCCCCACTTTCTCATTTCCCAGAGATTTCTTTTCATCCCAACATGTGTCCCAAGTCTTGCAGGATATGGCCTGGAGCTCTTTCGTGTTGCTTTTGAACAAGAGGTTATGGAAGCAATTTGTAATAAGAACATAACAATCCTGTCCATGCTCCAGTTTGTGGATTGACTTCTTCAGGATGTGATGTCAATCCTGGATCCCAGCAGCAGTAAGAATGGGATGTGGCAAGATTCCCTTATGTTCTGCCTGATGTTGGGTAAGGGAGTGGTTGGTTTGAATCTTTTCCAGCTTTGCCAATCTTGGCATGAAGCTTTCAAACCTAGAAAGGGTAATACAATAAATGTAAAAAATGTAGCTCATTTTCAGGTTTTCAGCTGGGGAAATGATTTTTGTTCCCCTTGAATGATTTTAGCTGAATTATTGGCATCACATTCAAGGAACATTAAGAGCACCACTCAGCATGATGAAGAACAACCAAAAGTTTGGCCGGTATTACCTTGTCAATTGGCTTCCACCAAGAGATGCTTTTTGAGCATTGAAATTTAACTTGCCCTACTTCTGTTTCTGGCACAGGGAAATGTTTGTCTCTTTCTCAATTCTTCAACTATGTTCTCAGTTTCTTCTCATGACTTCATACTGCATTGCTCATGACTTTTCTCCTAGTGTTCTTCACTAGGAAAGTTTTCCTCCCCACCCACCTTTGTCAGTTTGTCAAGCCTGTCAGAAACTCATAGTTATGAGCATTTTTCACAGGTCCACCTAATCCCAGCAATAATAGGATTGCCATAAAGCATGATTGGGCAATAAGGACCCTTGGTGGCACAATGGATAGAATGCAATCCTGCAGGCTAATTCTGCTCACTGCCAGGAGTTCAATTCTGACCAGCTCAAGGTTGACTCAGCCTTCCATCCTTCTGAGGTTGGTAAAATGAGGACCCAGTTATTTGGGGGGGCAATATGCTGACTCTGCAATCCATCCAGAGAGTGTTGTAAAGCACTGTGAAGTGGTATATAAGTCTAAGTGCCTTGGCTATTGCTATAAGCTAGGAGGTATATCAGTGGGTTGCAACTTGATGTCCGCTGGACGTGCTGGAATTGCAGGAAGTGGAATTCTTAGTTTGGTCTTTGGTTGTGAGACAGGTAACTGTGGCTGACTCTGATGCAAACGTATTCAAAATAAACTGGGTTTGTTTCTGAATAAGGTATGAAATCATTTTCGATTGCATTCACATTTTGGAGCTTTGGCATTCAAAGCAGTCTTGTTGATCATGATGCTATCCATTCAATCATGTCGGAGACTTGGTGATTCTATGGCTCAACTCTCTCTACATTTTCCAATTTTGTACAACTTCTTTCAGACGATTGATGTTCTGGCTGGTGTCAGCTTTGATGGAGTCTAGCCGCTGTGTTTTTTGGCGACCTCATTTCCTTTTATCACTGACCATTCCAAGCATAAATTTTCCAGTGAGTTTCATTGCATGACATGGCCAAAAGAAGTAAGGTGGAATTTTCTGATTTTGCCTTCCAGCGAATATGCCAATTTTTATATGCTCTATTTGACATGGCACTAAATTCATGACATATCTGTCTACACCATGATTCTCACTTCTTAGAAGTAATATACCTTCTTTCAGGAGTTGCTGCAGCTACAGTGAGCCAACAGCACTCTACACAGGCATACCTTCCTAGATAGTTTGAGATCCTGAGTATATTCTTGAGTCTCTTGGAAAGAAAGATCACTTCTTGTGAAAGATCACGAGAAATGATCCTACCGCTTTATAATGCTTTGGTAAGACCACACTTGAAATACCGCATGCAGAGTGCAGAGAAGAACGCCAAAGGTGATTGGAGGGGGCTGAGGGTAAAAACGTAGGAAGAACATTTGCAGGAATTGGGTATGTCTAGTCTAGTGAAAAAAAATGGACTAGTGGGTTACATGATAGCAATGTTTCAATACTTGATGGGCTGCCATAAAGAAGAGGTGGGCAACCTATTCTCCAAAGCATCTGAAATCAGAACAAGAAGCAATGGATGGAAACTAATCAACGAGAGAAGCAACCTAGAAGTTGGGAGAAATTTCCTGAGAGTAAGAATGATCAGCCAGTGGAACAGCTTGCCTCCAGAGATTGTGGATGTTCTATCACTAGAGACTTTTAAGGGACTCAACACCATTTGTCTAAAATGGTATAGGGTCTTCTGCTTGAACAGGAGGTTGGACAGGACTGGAATAGAATAGAATAGAATAGAATAGAATAGAATAGAATAGAATAGAATAGAATAGAATAGAATAGAATAGAATAGAATAGAAAAGAGCTGGAAGGGTTCAAGGTCATCTTCTAGTCCCTTCCTACTCAGACTTTCAAATATGGGATGATGGTGACTTCAGCTTCTTCTTGTCATCCATAATTCTTCATCTCAAGTAAAAATCTCTGTGCTGATAAATATCTAGAAGTCAACCATGGTTAACTGCAGTTCTTCAGAGTAAAATGTCAGTAATTTGGTGCGTCAAAGACCAAAAATAATCAGAAGGGCTTGAAAGATCTTGTAGATCAAGAGATTAAATTCTTGTTCAGTTTAGATATCCAGAATAAAAGCTTTTTCAGGGGTGTTCGGCAACTACCTGACAATCTTTACCAAAGGCAATCCATCTATTTGCAAATGGGCTTCTTGTAGGGATTGTTTTTAAATTACTATTGGAGGCTTTTTGGCTGAAAGTTCAGGAAACCAGTATAAATAAGCAAAGAAGCTCATCTATTTAGAAATTAAGTTCCATTGAATTTAACAAGGTTTATTCACAGATACATTAGGTGTATGCAGAATAGTATCCTGAGGTGTTCTTCATTATTATTCCTGTTATCAACTGGAGCTGCTAATACAGTTCTACAGAGGAATTATTGAGTCTATGATCTGCACCTCTATAACTGTCTGGTTTGGTTCTGCAACCCAACAGGACAGACACAGACTTCAGAGGATAATTAGGACTGCAGAAAAAACAATTACTATCCACCTGCCTTCAGTAGAGGACCTGTGTACTGCACAAATCAAAAAGAGGGCTGTGAAAATATTTACAGACCCCTCACATCCTGGACATAAACTGTTTCAACTCCTTCCCTCAAAACAACGCTATAGAGCACTGCACATCAGAACAACTAGACACAAGAACAGTTTTTTCCTCAAAAGTCATCACTCTGCTTAACAAATAATTCCCTCAACACTGTTCAACTATTACAAAGTCTGCACTACTATTACTGTTAATCTTCTCATCAATCCTTATCACCCATCCCCTCCCACTTGTGATTGTAGGACTGAAACTTTGTTGCTTGTATCCTGATTTGATTTGATTGCTGATTGTATCCAATGACTATCATAGTATTGTATGTTATGATTCTTGATTCTTAACGAACGTATCTTTTCTTTTATGTATACTGAGAGTATTTACACCAAGACAAATTCCTTGTGTGTCCAATCACACTTGGCCAATAAAGTATTCTATTCTATTCTATTGTAAATGGATAAAACAGATTACTAGAACTGCTTCAAAAGTCTGCCTTTGAAGTTGAACCCAGTCCTAACAAATGGATATTTGGGAAGCATTTGGCTGTAACATCCAAATTGTCTCTATGTAACATTCTAAATTATTAAAACAAACAAACAAACTGTTGAGATTAAAGAATAGTTTCTTGTTCCTGGCAGGATTTGTGTGGTGCTACAACCTGTGACACTTTGGGAATGGCGGATGTCGGCACCATGTGTGACCCCAAACGCAGTTGCTCCGTCATTGAGGATGATGGTCTTCCTTCTGCCTTTACTACAGCTCATGAGCTAGGTAAGGAGTTCGACCTTGGGTAGAGGCAGATATTTCTCTCTCTGGGCACAATGACAATATATCTGCTGAACAAGACTCCTCATTGGCAACAGGAAAGGCTTCCAGCCAGTAAAACACTCCGCTCCATTCAGTTGCTCAGAATCCAGCCCGCAAGGGATTATGGGGTCGTTAAAAGAGGATGATGAGCTAGGTAAGGCTTCCGAAAAGGAGAGAAAGATGAGAGAGAAGACTTAGAAGAGCATCTAAAGCTGGTTAGGTGACTTTTAGGCAATCATCAGGAGTCTGTGGTTTCTTAGCTCCACCTTAAGCAGGAAAGATGGATGGATGATTTTGGGCCAATCACTAGGAGATTGGGAGTTCTAGTCCTGCATTAGACATGAATGACAAATGGGTGACTTTGGGCTAATCTTCAGCAGACTGTAAATTCTAATCCCACCTTAAGTCTGAAAGCTGGCTGGGTAGTTTTGAGGCAATCTTTCTCAGTCCAACCTGGGTTACAGAGTTGTTGCTGTGTGGAAAATAGGAGGAGGAAGGAATATTAGGTGTGTTCATCACCTTGAGTTATTTATAAAAATAATAAAGGTTAGGTAAGAATAAATTCAAAGAAGAAAAAAAACTTCTGAAGATTAGAAAGACTAAAACAATATCCCTGTAGGGCAGGGGTGTCAAACTCAAGGCCTGAGGGGGTGGTGGTGGATCGGGCCAGGGGGGGGGATTCTATTGGTTCGGACTGGTTCAGGCAAAGGGATGTTAAAGTGACATCTGGTTTGCTGAACTGGTATTTCAACCACCCGGCTGGCCCCACCCAACCCTCCCCTCCCCTCCCAGAAGTTTCCATGTGGCCCATTTTTGATGGAGGTAAGGGCAGGGGCCACGCAGAGGCTCCGGGAGGGGGAAGAATGGGCTTTCCGGAAGTCATGAAACGGGTCTGTTTCTGGCTTCCGGTGGGTATTCAGAGCCGAGGGGAGGCTGTTTTCGCCCTCCCAGAGGCCCGGGAGAGGCCTCCAGATCCTTGGGAGGGGGAAAACGGTCCTCCCAAGAAAACCACAAGTCGCAAAACAGGCCTGTTTCCAGTTTCCAGTGGGTCTCCATAGGCTGGGGGAGGCTGTTTTTGCCCTTCCAGAGGCCTGGGGAGGCCTCCAGACCCATGGGAGGGTGAAAATGGCTTCCCCCAGACTCTGGAGGTCCACCGGAAGCTGGAAACAGGAAGTTCCAGGAGATCACGTCCACCATGCCCACGCCCACCCAGGAACTGGGGCAGAGAACCAGTTGCTGGGATTTTTGAATCTCACCCCTGGATCTGGCGCATGGAGTGCTTAGAACTAGCCTGCAGGGCCACCCTGGAAACAGTGAACAACCAGCCCACGGAGCCTCTGCCAGTGAAAATGGAACTCGGGAGCTCTGTTTTTGCTGGCAGAGGCTTGCAGGAGGTCGTTGCAGCCGAAAATGGAGCTCATTGGCAGAGCACTTGGGCCACTACAGGTGCACCCCAAATCAAGCTGGCCATGCCCACCCTGGTCACACCCACCCCGGTCCCCTGAGGTCAAACACAGCCCTTTGATGCGGCCCTCAATGAAATCAAGTTTGACACCCCTGTTGTAGGGATCCTTCTCACGGTCCTCCTCACCTTCAGAGATACCAGCCTTGTAATCCAACAGTCTTTGTGGTATTTTCAATTCAATGACTTTTGGGATGGTCACCTATAGTTAGAAAAGGAAGAAACAGGAGATCAGGAACTGGGAGAACCCAGATCTCCAAAAGCTGGTTGCAAGTCAGACTGTTTAAGCCTTTGAATCCAGCAGCATCAAGTCATTGGCAGGTTATGCTTTGCATCTGCCTGGTTTTGCATGCTCTCCTTCCGATGTTTGGCAGGCCATTCTTGGCCAGCAGTTTCAATCCATCAGCCAGCGACTTTGGAAGTGGTCACTTAAGCCACAGCTGAGAGGCAGAGCCCACACCTGCAGTTGACACCTGCCAAACAGATTTTGCCAAGGAAACGGAGGGAGGGGTGCGTGGATTGAATCCATTTTTAACAGAAGAATTCTCTCTCTAATTAAGGAAAGAAGCTTGACGTTTTAAAATAAATCCCAGTACTTGGTTCAGGAAGTCTTGACAATAGCAAAAGTTTAAGAATAGTTTTGTGGGAAACTCAGCCTTGTAAATGAACATGTATATAGATGTTTGTGGAGGAAAAAGAGAGCAACAGCCTGCAATTTTATTCCCTGTGCCACGGGAAGGCTCAGTTGGAACTGCTGGAGAACAGCTGTTCGAAAGAGGAGGAATCCCAAGCGAAGGACTCTTCGTTGCTGACTGTTCTATTCTCAGGCTTCTGAGATCCTGAAATAATATGTAATTGCTGGGATGCGTTAGACACACACACCTCGATCCAGAGCCGCCAGAGTGTCTCCTGAAGTGACAACCAAATGGCTTGGTTTTCATTTACAAAGCAGGAAGAGGATTTGGGGTTTGGAGGATCAAATCATTCCAATTCAAAATAGCTCCCAAAATTAGAAATGGTTTTGCTTCAAATGAGATTCCTCTGGCTAGGGTAGACCAACTCATGGCCTCTGCTGTCTTTTCATGGTTGCCTTCAGGGTTGGTGGCGCTTTTTATCTGAGTGACCCAGGCTGGATGACATTTGGCTGCATGCCTTGTAGGACAATCTCTTCACTGAGTCGACTATCACTGTGAACAATAGATATCATGTCATGTCTGAATAAAGCCAACCCCAAAACTGTGAAGACTGTACATTTTGCATTATCCTGTCTTTAGACCAGGGTTATCCAATCTTGGCACTTTGGGTCAATCATCAGGACTGTGAGTTCTGGTCCCACCTTAAACATAGAAGACCGCTGGATGACTTTGGCCCAAGTGTCAGGAGACTGTGAGTTCTAGTCCCACTTTAGGAGTAAAAGATGGCTGGGTGACTTTGGTTCAGTCACTCTCTCAGATTACTACTCATCTGATCTGAAAAAAAAACCCAGACCCTTCCCTTGTGGGAAAACCCAGGAAGAAGAAACAAGAGAATAGGTCAATCCTCATGAGAAGCAGAGTGCTGGGTGAGATAGTTTACCACTTAATCTAGCAGGAGGACAGTCAATATTCTGAAATTACATTAAACAAATATAGTTCATTTCTGCCCTAATTTAATTAGAAGTTCTTCCACTAAGTCCCAGTATGTCTGTGGCCTGCTTTCAGATGTCCCACCCAGAATAGCTATGAATTTGAATAAGAAATTCTCTTCTCCTCCCCTGTTTATCATTTTTTTCACCCTCCAGACATTGAAAAGGACAAGTATCTGCACACATAGCAAATGGTGTGAGTCTTGGCAAAGAAAATTGCTGGCTTGCAGGTCTTGCTGGCAGGAATTGCACACTGCATCTGTTGTAAATTTATTGGCCTTTGAGGGACAACCTGATTAGAACATGAGAAGGAAGATGTTTGTGGACCTAGGAAAGGGAGTGTAGAGTACAACAGTCTTGCTGCGGGCCCTTGCAAAGCCATATGCAACAGAGGTCACTTCTTTCATGGATTATGGAAGAAAAAGCAAACAGGAGGTAGAGGACATAAATGAAAACTTGATGAAGCCTCCAGACCATGCCAAGTCCAACAGATTTGTCTTGTGGCCTGCTCAAGTCTTGATATCTCGTGTCCATACTATTGTAGGACAACATAAAAGAGACTTCCTTTTAAACCCCTTGATGACTCCTTCCATCATATATATGAATGAGTTGAATTTGACCAGTTGTTCAGATAAGAAAATTGGTTTAACCCAGGGGTTGTCAAACTTGATTTCATTGAGGGCTGCATCATGGTTGTGTTTGACCTTGGGGGAGCTGGGGGGGGGGGCACGTGACCAGCTCAACGTCACTCATGTCAGGTGCCTGTGGTGGCCCGAGCATTTTGCCAGTGAAAATGAGCTCCTGAGTTCTGTTTTTGGCTGCAGTGGACTCCTGCAACCCTTTGCCAGCAAAAATGGAGTTTGGGAGGGCCGCCCACGGCCCTCCCGAGTTCCATTTTCACTGGCAGAAGCACCATGGGCCAATCCTTTGCTGTTTCCAAGGTGGCCCTGTGGGCCAGATCTAAGCACCCCATGGTCCAGATCCACCCTCCCAGGCCTTGAGTTTGACACCCCTGATTTAATCATTAACCAAATTAACCATGATGATGAACACAAGCACTGTTCTTGATTGAGAAGGACTTAAGTCCACTCTCTACCATCTTCCATTTTGCATAAAGGGGAAAAAAAAAGGTTTCAGGAAGAAGAAACAGCATGAGGAAAGGAGAAACTAACAAACACTTCTATTCATTGCTAATTTTATTTCTCGGGAAGTGCCAGAATGCTGCCTGCAATTTTCAAATCATAACTCTCTCTTTCTAGGACACGTGTTCAACATGCCCCATGACAATGTGAAGGCTTGTGAAGAAGTCTTTGGTAAACTAAAGACCAACCATATGATGTCTCCCACTCTCATCCAAATTGACCGTATCAACCCATGGTCCCCTTGTAGCACGGCCATCATCACTGACTTCCTGGACAGCGGACATGGTGAGGAAAAGAGAGGGGATAGATATGTGAAAGAGAGACGGGAGTTAGAGACTATGGATGTGTGTCTGGTAACAGGCTGGTAAATACCCTTGTCATTGAAATGGAGATTGACAAATCAGAATGGTAGCTGTGAAATGATACCTACTTAGAAGAAAGGAAATGCGTTCAACTCCAGAAGCCACCTTTGGTCACCTTGATTGTTCAGAGTATTATAGCGTAAATTCAGCACCAGAAAAGTAAACACAGATGGCTGTGGCTTCATTTAACTTCTTTATAAACATATAAAGTAAATTTTACAATACCAGTTGTAGATTTCTCCAACATGGAGCAAACTCAAACAGAAGCAGACATATTACAGCTCCAGTTCAGAGCAGAGCTCTAGTTTTCAGCAAGCAAGTTAGTTTCTCTTTCACTTTAGAACTGAGTACAGAACAGAGATAAACCACATCCGGATTCTCTCTTTAAATTTCAGCCCTCAACTCAGCTCTCATCGGCTGACCTTGTTACTAAGCTCTATTCCAGTTCATGAATATACTCTGACATTGATTTACTTTGGAATAGTAAATTCTTGTGGTTAGTCACTGCTGATTTTTGCACAAGTATATTATAATACACTTCTTGCCTCAGATAATCTGAGTTTATGTCCTTCTTGGTGGCAATGAGTCTCAGCCAAAGTAATTGTGACAAAGGCTACCCAGTGGAGTTCAGCTTTTTTAATGTGCTAATGTGGGATTTCAGGGCAAATCTTGGAGTGTACGTTATGCTGGAGCATCCAGCAACAATCAATTAAACAAACAGAATTTCTCTGTGGGATTCTCCAAATCTTAAAGCTGAGACCACCCAAGACATGAGCAGACACTATAATCAAGATGTAATCTAGATATCATCTTTTGTTCATCAGTAATGGAATTCCTGTTGGAGTCGAGAGCTGGTGACATAATACATTTTCAGACTAGCTTCATGTACTGTATTAAGCTGGCTTTTGTTCTAACAATGGTTTGTTAATAAGCTGCAATGGGTTTACACCGAATACAAAGCCCTAAATCATGGTTTATAAAACACTAGATACTGCTAAGTCAAAACTACGCCAACCTCCTTAAGACTCAGGGTGTTATGAGCCGTGGTGGTGCAGTGGTCAGAATGCAGTACTGCAGGCTACTTCTGCTGATTCCTATCTGTCTGTAGTTTGGCAGTTCAGTTCTCACAGGCTCAAGGTTGGCTCATACTTCCATCCTTCCAAGGTTGGTAAAATGAGGACCCCTGCTGTTGGGGGAAAGAGGCTGATTCTGTAAACCACTGTGAAATCTAAATGCAATTGCTATTGCTATATACAAGCACAGTATTAGACTTGTGACTTTATTAAATCCAGATTTGGAATTACTAAAGAATTTCCCTTTAATTTGGATATTCATTTTGCTACCAAATACCCCTGAAATATTAAGATTCTTCCTTTAATTAAAAGAGAGGGAGAGAAAGAGACAAATCTTTTTGGAGAAAGGGAAGCAAAACCTTTCATCAAGATTTTTGTAAGCATCTCGGATAGTTTCTGCACATTTTTAACGCCAGATCTTATGCTATCAAGATGTTTATTTGAATCTACTCTTAGGAGCGTAGAGAAACTGAGTCCCTTAGAGAAGTTAAACCTGGAGGGTGGTGGAGGTTCTTAAAACCAGCTGTCTAGAAAAATAGAATAATCACCCGATCAAGCTGTTTTGGCTCACTCCTCTACTTTTACTAACAATTTACACTCGGAAAGCTGTAAATCATTAGAAATGTTACGGCTGAATCTAACTCGGAACACCCATTTTAGAAGAATCTGGAATTGTATGGCGGCAGGTCAACTGTACTCTTCCTTGCCTGAAGAATTTTTTTTTTTAAAAGGGAATTATATCAGATTTCAGTGCGAACCTCCAACCTATATATCCAAATCAGCTCACAATTTAAAGATGTAAATCCTAACCACTGCGTTGTCACCTCTGGCACCATTGTGACTAGTATTGGTACCAAAGAAAGCGAAATAGTCTTGATGCTACAGAGCCATAGTGTCAACTCTTGGCTGAACTGAGGCTATTTTTTTTTAATTTTCCCGCTTCAGTGCTGACACATACCAGAGCAGAGGGATAGGGAGCGGGGAATAGAGATAGCTGGGGTGCTCTAGCCAAAACAAAATGCCTTCCCTTGGGAACCAAGGACACTCCTGCAGGTGTTCAGAAGGAGGAGACTGTGGTTATCTAGCAACTGGCCTGCATGCTGATTGGACCTTGTGGCTGAGGGTTTGGGGGAAGTGATAAACTTTTAACTAGGTGAAAACCGTGGGAACCTTTTAAAGTTGGGTTCCACTAGATTTGTGCCAATATAATATTTCCAATAATGCTATACCTTGAGGACTTCACCTGCCTCAGAGTTTTGCTTGATATGGGATTATTACTTGGAACCCTGACACATAGTGACTCAGTGGTTAGAACACAGTATTGCAGGCTGATTCTGCCCACTGCCAGGAGTTTGATCCTGACTGGCTTAAAGTTGACTCTGCCTTCCATCCTTCTGAGATCAGTAAAATGAGGACTCATATTATTGGGGGCAATATGCTGACATTTGTAAACCGCTCAGAGAGTGCTATAAAGTACCATGAAGTGGTATATAAGTGTAAGTGCTATTGCTATGGATGGTGCCCTGACCTCCCACTGTATTCCTCTGTCTTCTCCAGGTGATTGCCTCTTGGACCAACCCACCAAACCGATCTCCTTGCCCCAGGAACTTCCCGGTTCCAGCTACAACCTCAATCAGCAGTGTGAGCTGGCCTTTGGCATTGGCTCCAAGCCTTGCCCATACATGCAATACTGCACCAAGCTTTGGTGCACTGGGAAGGCTCGCGGTCACATCATGTGCCAGACCCGTCACTTCCCTTGGGCTGACGGCACCAGCTGTGGAGAAGGGAGGTTCTGCATGAAAGGTGCATGTGTGGAGAGGCATAACATCAGTAAGTACCGGGTGAGTACTGTTGGCTCTTCGCATGGAGGGCAGCCCAATGGCTGAGGTTCACCAAGATCTATAGTTCAGGCCACAGATATACTCTCGCATGCGCAAACAAACATTTTAAAAAAGAGTATGCTAAGTAGGCAACCTAACATAATTCAATCCAGGCATGAATTATCCAGAATTTAGAATTTTGGAAGCATCTAAATTAACTATTGTACTCCACATGGATTTGGAGAGTTGTACTCAACATTCTCCTGAGTCATTGCTGATTTGCTTTGTTATGGTTTCATTTAATCCACTTAAGAAAAATGCAGAGATCTGCACGAGCAGTTGATTTAATTGCTCATTAGTTTCCACAACGAGTCAGCTCTTTCAAAATGCCAGGGAGATGAATAATTCCTAATCGGATGATTATTAAAAATGCTGAAAAAGCATCGTGTACGCATTTCATGGTCCTAGCGAGCCAATGCATTGTGTTCCTTGAGAAGAAAAAATAGGGAGTTGTGAGTTTTTTTTATCTGCTCAGTGTCTTATGTCCTGACAGGTGGATGGCAACTGGGGGAAATGGGCACCTTATGGATCTTGTTCAAGAACGTGTGGTGGAGGTGTCCAGCTGGCTAAACGTCAATGCAACAACCCCCCTCCAGCCAACGAAGGGAAGTATTGCGAAGGGGTTCGAGTTAAATATCGATCCTGTGGTTTGGATCCCTGCTTTGCTTCAGGTGAGATTTAATGAAGTTTCCA